TAGTAGTTGTAGTAGTAGTAGTAGTTAGTAGTAGTTAGTAGTAGTAGTAGTAGTAGTTGTTGTAAGTAGTAGTATAGTAGTAGTAGTAGTAGTAGTAGTAGTAGTATTAATTGTAGTAGTAGTAGTAGTAGTAGTAGTAGTTGTAGTAGTAGTAGTATTAAGTTTAGTAGTTAGTAGTAGTAGTAGTAGTAGTAGTAGTAGTATAGTAGTAGTAGTAGTAGTAGTAGTAGTAGTAGTAGTTTGTAGTATTAGTAGTGTAGTATTAGTAGTAGTAGTAGTTGTAGTAGTAGTAGTAGTATTAATTGTAGTAGTAGTAGTAGTAGTTGTTGTAGTATTAATTGTAGTGGTAGTATTATTTGTAGTAGTAGTTGTAGTAGTAGTAGTGTAGTATAAGTAGTAGTAGTAGTAGTAGTATAGTAGTAGTAGTAGTAGTAGTAGTTGTAGTAGTAGTAGTAGTAGTAGTAGTTGTTTGTTGTAGTAGTAATTGTAGTAGTAGTAGTATAGTAGTAGTAGTTGTAGTAGTAGTAGTAGTAGTAGTAGTAGTAGTAGTAGTAGTAGTAGTAGTAGTATTAATTGCAGTAGTAGTAGTAGTAGTAGTAGTATTAATTGTAGTAGTAGTAGTAGTAGTAGTTGTTGTTGTTGTTGTAGTATTAATTGTAGTGGTAGTATTATTTGTAGTAGTAGTTGTAGTAGTAGTAGAAATTCCTTCATAACAATATCCAGACGACAGTGATTCTAAATAAAACCTGTGAGGACAAATGAACAGAAGAATATAATAAGAAGTACTATGTTTATAATAATAATATAGTAGTAATAGTAGTACAGCTGTAGTATACTAAATATACTACTATACTATACTACAGTAGTAATAGTAGTACTATTGTAGTATACTATATATACTACTATACTATACAAAAGTAGTAATATAAGTAGTAACTATAGAGTAATGTAATAATATAATAAGTACTGAAAACAGAATGTACACGTGTATTGAAGACATTGACCAGTAGAGGGCGTCTCTGTGAGTCTGTGAGTCTGTGCATCGCTCTGTGGTTTGTGTGGTTTGTGTGGCAAAGCACTTACACCTCACAGCGACAGGGTTCTGTGTGTGATGTTCTGTGTGGAGTTTGCATGTTCTCCCTGTGTCTGTGTCTGTGTCTGTGTCCAGTTTCCTCCTTCAACCCAAAACACAAAAGTCAAATCATCTGGATCAGGACCAGGACTAGGACTCAGACCCAGACCCAGACTCAGACCAGGACCCAGACCAGGACCCAGACCAAGACCAAGATCTAGACCAGACCAAGACCAAGATCTAGACCAGACCAGACCAAGACCAGACCAGACCAAGACTAGACTAGACCAAGACCAGACCAAGACCCAGACCAAGACTCAGACCAAGACCCAGACCAAGACCAAGACTAGACCAGAGCAGGAGTAGACTAGACCAAGACCAAGACCCAGACCAAGACCCAAGACCAAGACCAAGACCAACACTAGACCAAGACCAGACCAAGACCCAGACCAAGACTAGTCCAAGACCAAACCAAGACCAGACCAAGACAAGACCAAGACCAAGAAAAGTCCAAGACCAAGACCAAGACCAAGACCAAGACCAGTCCAAGACCAAGACCCAGACCAAGACCAGTCCAAGACCAGACCAAGACCAGACCAAGACAAGACCAAGACCAGTCCAAGACCAAGACCAAGACCAAGACCAGTCCAAGACCAAGACCAAGACCCAGACCAAGACCAGTCCAAGACCAGACCAAGACCAGACCAAGACAAGACCAAGACCAAGACCAGTCCAAGACCAAGACCAAGACCAAGACCAGTCCAAGACCAGACCAAGACCAAGACCAGGCCAAGTCCAGACCAAGACCAAGACCAGGCCAAGTCCAGACCAAGACCAGACCAAGACCAGTCCAAGACCAGACCAAGACCAGACCAAGACAAGACCAAGACCAAGACCAAGACCAAGACCAAGACCAAGACCAAGACCAAGACCAAGACCAAGACCAAGACCAGACCAAGACTAGACTAGACCAAGACCAAGACCAAGACCAAGACCAAGACCAGACCAGACCCAGACCAAGACCAAGACCAGACCAAGACCAGACCAAGAGCAGGCCAAGACCAGACCAAGACCAAGACCAAGATCAAGATCAAGACCAACACCAAGATTTGGACCTGAGACCTTAGACTGAGTGACCTTTGACCCAGTTCTTCTGCAGTCTGATCACACACACACACACACACACACACACACACACACACACACACACACACACACACACACACACACACACACACACACACACACACACCTGGTCCAGACTCTGTGGATTTATGAAACAACAGAGTTTATTCACGTCGGATCAGAGGCGCTGCCAAAAAATACTTAAAGTTGCACTGTGTAACTTTCTGCTGCTTGTTTCCATGGAGATGTTTTTGCTTTGCCTGGAATGTTTCACACTGTTCTGGAACATCCTGAACTCCAGAAAAGTTACACAGTGCATATTTAAGTAAAAATACAAATATGACCCTGACTCAAAGTGAAGTCAAAAGTCCAGAGACCCAGAAATATGACATAAAATAAATAATATTGTATACTACTACTACTACTACTACTACTACTACTACTACTACTACTACTACTACTACTACTACTACTACTACTACTACTACTACTACTACTACTACTACTACTACTACTACAACAACAACAACTACTACTACGACTACTACGACTACTACAAAGACTATGAATACTACGACTACTACAACTACTACGAATACTACGACTACTACGAATACTACGAACTACTACGACTACTACGAATACTACGACTACTACCACTACTAACAACTACTACGAATACTATGAATACTACTACTACTACTACTACTACTACTACTACTACTACTACTACTACTGCTACTACTATGAATACTATGAATACTACTACTACTATTACTACTACTACTATGAATACTACTACTACTCCTACTACTACTATGAATACTATGAATACTACTACTACTACTACTACTACTACTGTTACTGTGTATAAAGTACTTTGTTGTAACTGAATAAAGTTGTGTTTAGACTTACTCACACATCGTATAAACACTGGAACTAAACCAGGATTAGAACAAGACCAAACAAAGACTACATCAGGACTGAACCTGGTCCAAACCAGGACTAAACCAGGACTAAACCAGAACTAACCAGAACTAAACCAGGACTAAACCAGGACTGAACCAGGACAAGTGTAAACAGTCTAAATATAACAGATTATAATGTGTCTGCTGTGATCCTCCATTTTGTGTTGTATTTTTAAACATTCAGGACGATCCTTTTGTCCACATCCATCTCTCTTCAGCTGCTCACACATTTATACACACACACAACTGTAACACACACACACAACACACACACACAACAGTACACACACACACACACTGTAACACAACACACAACACACACAACTGTAACACACACACACACACACACACACAACACACACAACTGTACACACACACACAACACACACACACACAGTAACACACACGCACACACACACACAACTGTAACACACACACACACACACACACAACAGTAACAACACGCACACACACACACAACTGTAACACACAACACACACACACACAACACACACGCACAACACACACAACTGTAACACACACACACAACACACACACAACAGTAACACACACACAAACACACAACTGTAACACACACACAACTGTACACAACACACACACACACACAACACACACACACTGTACACACACACACACAACACACACACAACTGTACACACACACACAACACACACACAACAGTAACACACACGCACAACACACACAACTGTAAACACACACACAAACACACACACAACAGTAAACACACACGCACAACACACACAAACTGTACACACACACACAACACACACACAACATAACACACACACACACACACACACACACTGTACACACACACACAACACACACACACACAACTGTAACACACACACACAAACACACACACAACACACACACGTAACACACACACACAACACACAACAACTGTACACACACACACACAACTGTAACACAACACACACACACACACACACACAACTGTAACACACAACACACACAACTGTAACACACACACACACACAACTGTAACACACACACACACAACTGTACACACACACACACAACACACTGTAACACACACACACACAACTGTAACACACATAACACACACAACTGTAACACGCAACACACACACACACAACAACTGTAACACGCACACACGAACAACACACACATGCACACACAACTGTAACACACACACATACACACATAACTGTAATACACTCACACAACTGTAACACACACACACAACTGTAACACACACACACACAACACACAACTATAACACACACATACACACATAACTGTAACACACCCACACAACAACTGTAACACACTCACACAACAACTGTAACACACACAACACACACACAACTGTAACACACACACACAACACACAACTATAACACACACATACACACATAACTGTAACACACCCACACAACAACTGTAACACATTCACAACAACAACTGTAACACACACACAACTGAACCACACACAACAACCGCACCAGACTCCCGAGGGCAGAGAGACTGAAATCTGTATAAGAATCTCACTTGTAATCCACAAAACTTTATTGGTCCCGGAGGGCACTTCATTTACAACATTCTCCGAGCCGTTCTCACAAACCACAAATGCACACACACACACACACAACACACACACACAACACACAAACCACAAACACACACAAACACACCCAGTGAGTCGGTCCATTACAGTTCACAAGTTGAATTCGGTACAACATTCTATATGATGACGCAAAAACTCCAAAAAACAAACACTTCCAGCAGAGTTCAGAAATGTAAAAGCAGATGATACGAAAGAAAAGTAGAAAAGCACCAGCGCATAAATCTGAACTCATGAAGGCAACAGACTCACATGGACCACAAGAGCTTTTTCACACACAAAAATAACTTGTAAGATTTACTAAAAAAAAATCCTCGTAACAGTTTGCACTTTCACTTTGTAAGTCAATTTTACTGCTGTAATATCAGATACAATTTACTTGTCAGTATTAAGTAAAATGTACTTAAAGTAAAAAGTACTCCACGATTAACAGACATGAATTAACTGAGTAACTGTTACTCATTTTTTTAAAGTTGGAAGTCACATTTATGTAATTTATGTATCGTACGAGTGCAGATTGTACATGTGCAGGTTTAGCGCAGTCATTTCACTTATGTTGGTCACTTTATTCATGTTGGTCACTTTATTCATGTCGATCACTTTATTTATGTAGGTCACTTTATTTATGTCGGTCACTTTATTCATGTCGATCACTTTATTTATGTAGGTCACTTTATTTATGTCGGTCACTTTTTCATGTCGATCACTTTATTTATGTTGGTCATTTACTTTATTCATGTTGGTCACTTTATTCATGTCGATCACTTTATTTATGTAGGTCACTTTATTTATGTCGGTCACTTTATTCATGTTGGTCACTATTTATTTCGATCACTTTTTTCATGTTGGTCACTTTATTTGTGTTGGACACTTTATTTATGTCGGACACTTCATTCATGTAGGTCACTTTATTCGTGTCAGACACTTTATTTGTGTTGGACACTTTATTCATGTGGGTCAGTTTATTCATGTAGGTCACTTTATTCATGTTCGACACTTTATTTATGTTGGACACTTTATTCATATTGGTCAGTTTATTCATGCTGGTCACTTTATTCATGTTCGACACTTTATTCATGTTGGACACTTTATGTCAATCACTTTATTCATGTTGGACACTTTATTTATGTAGATCACTTTATTTAGGTTGGTCACTTTATTCATGTTGGACACTTTATTCATGTTGGACACTTTATTCATGTTGGACACTTTATTTATGTCGATCACTTTATTCATGTCGGACACTTTATTCATGTGGTTACGGTTATGATGAAAAGACTGAAAAGTGTTTGTTTGTGTTTTTTCTGTGTCAGATCAGGAACGTCCACAGGCCGAGAACGTGCACTGGGTTTCTCTGGACTTTAAAACCATCCTCAGGTGGTCAGCCCCGCCCTCCAACTACACCTACACCGTCCAGTATGCAGAGTGAGTACTACTACTATTACCACTACTACTACTACTACTATTACTACTACTACTACTACTACTACTACTACTACTACTACTACTACTACTACTACTACTACTACTACTACTACTACTACTACTACTACTACTACTACTACTACTACTACTACTATTACTATTACTATTACTACAGTACTGCTACTACTACTACAACTTCTCCTATTACTTCTACTACTACTACTACTACTACTACTGCTATTACTGCTGTTACTACTACTACTACTTCTTGTACTACTACATCCGTTAGTACTACTACTATTACTACTACTACTACTACTTCTACAACTACTACTTCTGTTAGTACTACTACTACTACTACTACTTCTACTACTACTACTTCCGTTAGTACTACAACTACTACTGCCACTATTACTTCCAGTACTACTACTACTACTACTTCTTCTACTACTACTACTTCCGTTAGTACTACTACTACTACTGCCACTATTACTTCCACTATACTACTACTACTACTACTACTACTACTACTACTACTACTTCTTCTCCCCCCCTCGTACCTTGATTTAGTACTTGCACTTGCACTTGTACTTGTACTACACACATGCAGTATCGTGGCAGGACAGGGCCGGACCTGCTCGTTCTTCATCATCAGTCTGGAGATAAAGATCAGAGCAGAGCCACAGAACTCTGAGTGATCTGAAGGTGAACGAACGATCCCAACAATCTGGAACATTCTGGAACATTCTGGAACATTCTGCTCCCAGGAGTGAAGAAAGAACAAATACTTCTCCTTCTTCTTCGTGTGCGTTTATCAGAGTTGGCGCTTGGGTCTTGGCTCGGTGGACTTTGGGGGCAGAGTTACTTCAGCTCTTATCACGAAACTCTCCACACGACGCCACGTTTTCCTCCTCACGCACAAACCTGGACTCGTGATACAGGAAATGCTCCACTGTGTTTTTAAACTCCACACACCTTTATTATTCCACTAAACCAAAAGTAAAAGGAGCTGTTGACCTCTTTGTGACATCACAAGGTGGAACAGAGCGTTTAGAGCTTTGCAGGTGTAGACAGACTGATGTGTGTGTTTGTTTTTGATGAGGGAACAACATTTTAACACGACTTAAAACTCACAAAAGTCAAATTTGCGAACACTGTAAACCCAAACAATGAAGCAGTAATAAAAAAATTTGAGTTTATAGTGTCACTGTTTTAATTAATGTAAATAAAAATGAGTATCACACAAAATCTTTAATTGTTATTTAGTATTCAAAATAAAAAATGCCTTAAAATATTATTATTAATATTATTAAAAAAAAAAAAAAAATGTGTTTCTACCTTCCACGGTGGTAGGTCTCTCTACCCTCATTGAGCTCGGGTCCTCTACCAGAGGCCTGGGAGCTTATATATATATATATATATATATATATATATATATATATATATATATATATATATATATATATATATATATTTATAATTTTTTATTAATTGTTACTAAAGATTTTAGGTGATACTTGCACATATTTTTAATTTACAGTATTTAAAAAAGTAGGACAACAAAGTTTAAAAAAAAGTTATGCAACCATTTACCTACATTTTTAAAATTTTACTTAAGTTTAAAAAAAAGAGTCCTAACAAATATGCATTTACTATGCTTAATAAAAAGTGAAAAACATTTTAAATTTCAATGTTTATATTCAATACAGACATTGAAATATAACAGAATACAAATTCAAAAATAAAATTCACTGCATTGAATAAACTGTAAAGAAACACAAACACTTTTCCCACATTTTTCAAACAGTTTTCACTTTTTTTTTCTTACATTGGACCACAGACTGTAAAAAGACGTGGACTCAGTGAGACAGTGTTCAGATCCAGTCAAGTGAAGCTCATCGAGGCTCGTGGTTATAGCGGCACATTTGGAGCCAAGGTCCATGATAGAAATAAGAATTTATTTACAGATAAAACAGTGAAAATAAAACTCCAGGATCACGTGTCGAGGGTTAATACGAACATTTAAAGACCAGAATGACGAGCCTCACAGCAGCAGACACAGAGAGACGAGACGAGTTTTTCAGTGGAAAGTCAAATGGAGCCAGAGTCGATGGAGCCTGAAGTGCCCCCTATGTCCATTTATATAAACAGTCTATAGATAAAAAAAAAAGCCTCACCGATAAAAATGATTTAAACTTTTGTGTTTCTTGCAACTTTTCGACAGATCTGAGTTTGTCTCATTTTTGTGTCTGAAAAGTTTAAATTTTTTTTGTCACATCTGCTCTCATGGTACGTCCCCATAGTTACTTTTTAAGTTACTCTTTGAATTACTCTTTAAGTTACTCTTTAAATTACTCTTTAAATTACTCTTTAAGTTACTGTTTAAGTTACTCTTTAATTTACTGTTTAAATTACTGTTTAAGTTACTCTTTAAGTTACTGTTTAAGTTACTCTTTAATTTACTGTTTAAGTTACTCTTTAAGTTACACTTTAAGTTACTCTTATTCCAGTGGTGTTTTTCTCAAACTCCTCGTGGAGTTCAGAGTTTTGTTGTTTCTTTCTCCTCTGATGATCCGCCGCTTCAGGGAACAATAAATACTCTGTTATAAAATTATTTTGTGTAAATCGTAAAGTTTTGACTCATTTCGTGATTCACAAACATCTGTGTTGAACGAGACTCGGAGGTCAAAGGTCACGTGATCTCACAACTTTAAACTGTTCAGAGTCTAAACTGACCTGGAGTTTAAAGTTCTGATGTTTCACACCGAACCGACTCTCGTGAGATTTGAGTCGAGTTAAAATGTTGTTCCCTTCTCAAAAAACAAACTAAAACCAAACCTTTTCCCTGCGAGACGATGACTTCATCACATTCTAGTCGTGGCCACAGCCTCGTGTCTCTGTCTCTGACTCTGTGCTCTTGGGCCACACACTTCCTTTTAATATTGGATTGGTGCAGGTTTCCACATGTCTGGTTTCTGATCTAATCTACCTCTACCTCTTCCTCTCTCCTCCACCCTCCCTCCGCCTCTCTCTCTCTTTCCTAATGTCTCCATCGCTCTCTTTCCCTCTCTTCACTCTCCCTCCTCCCTCTCTCTCTCTCTTCCTCTCCTCCTCTCTATCTCCCTTCGCGCTTTCTCTCTCCTTCTCGCTCTGTCTCCTTCTCCCTCTCCCTCTCTCCTCATCTCCCTCCTCTTTCTCTCTCTCTCTCTCTCTCTCTCCTCTCTCTCTCCCTCTCTCTTTCCTAATATCTCCATCGCTCTCTTTCCCTCTCTTCACTCTCCCTCCCTCCCTCCCTCCTCGCTCTCTCTCTTCCTCTCCTCCTCTCTCTCTCTCTCTCTCCTTTCTCTCTCCATTTCTTCACCCCCCCCTCCTCTCTTTCTCTGTCTCTCTCTCCTTCTCTCTCTCTCTCTGTCTGTCTGTCTCCCTCTCTCTTCACCCTCTCTCTATCTCCTTCTTTCCCTCTCTCTCCCTTCCTCCCTCCCTCTCTCTCTGTCTCTCTCTCCTTCTCTCTCTCCTCCTCTCTCTCCTTCCTCTCTTCCTTCTCTCTCTCCCTCTCTCTCCTCTCTCTCTCTCTTCCCTCTCTCTCTCTATCTCTCTCTCTCTCTCTCTTCTCCTTCCTCCTCTCCTCCTCTCTCTCTCCTCTCTCTCTCCTCCTCTCTCTCTCTCTCTCTCTCTCCCTCTCTCTCCTCTCTCTCTCTCCTCTCTCTCTCTCTCTCCTCTCTCTCTCTTCTCTCTCTCTCTCTCTCTCTCCCTCTCTCTCTCTCTTCTCTCTCTCTCTCTCTCCTCTCTCTCTCTCTCTCTCTCTCTCTCTCTCTCTCTCTCTCTCTCTCTTCTCTCTCTCTCTTCTAAACCTCTTACAGAGTTTTTTGTGGAATGTCGAGCGTCGTTTTGATTCGGTCTTTTACTGTGAGTGTTGAGCAACAAGAACCCCCCTCCTCTCCTCTCCTCTCTCTCTCTATTCCTCTCTCTTTCTTCTCTGTATGAACTATACAAAAAGAAAAGGAGGAGAAAAGAGAGGGGACAGAGGAGAGAAAGAGAGAGTGGGGTTGAAGAGGAGGAGAGAGGAGCACAGAGAGAGGAGAGAGAAAGGGAGATGGGAGGAAAGGAGAAACAGAAGGAGGGAGAGAGGAGAGAGAGAAGGAGAAAAGAAAGAAGAGACAGAGAGAGCGAGAGAGACGGTCAGAGGAAATAGAAAGAAGGAGGGGAGAGCGTAAAAAGAAAGAGAAGGAGAAAAAGAGGGGAGAGGAGAGAGTGAAAAGGAAGAGAGAGAGAGCTCTACAGTGGTCTCTCCCTCCCTCTTTCTCCACCACTCTCCCTCTCTCCCTTCCCCTCTCCCTCCCTCTCTTTCCCTCCCTCCCTTTCTCCTTCCTTCTCCTCTGCCTCGCTCCCTTTCTCCTTCCCTCCCTCTCTCCTTCCTTTTCTCCTCCCTTCTCCTCTCCATCATTCCCTCCTCTCTCTTTTTCCTTCCTTCTCCTTGCCCTCCCTCTCTATCCTTCCCTCCTCTCCTTCCTGCTCCCTTCCCTCGCTCCCTCCCTCTCTCCTTCCCTCCTTCATGCTCCTCTCCTTCTCTCCGTTCTGCTCCTCTCCCTCTCTCCCTTCCTCCCTATCCTTCCTCTCCCTCTCTCCTTCCCTCTGTCCTCCCTCTCTCTTTCCTTCCCTTTCTCCTTCCTTCTCCTCTGCTTCCCTCCCTCCCTCCCTATCCTTCCTCTCCTTCTCTCCTTTCTGGTCCTCTCCCTCCCTCCTCCCTCTCTCTTTCCTTCCTTTTCTCCTTCCTTCTACTCTGCCTCGCTCCTTTTCTCCTTCCCTCCCTCTCTCCCTTCTTCTCTCCCTCCTCTCCTCCCTCTCTCCTTCCTTTTCTCCTCCCTTCTCCTCTCCTTCATTCCTTCCTTCTCCCTTTCTCCTTCTTTCTCCTCTCCCTCCCTCCCTTCCTCTCTTCTTCTTTTTCAGTCATTCTTTGTGTTCTGTGTGTTGTCAGTCTGTTCACGTTTCTGTGCTTCGGGACTCAGTGTTTAAAGAGAAACACAAACAGTTTTGGTTCTGTGGATCAACTCCGAGTCCGAGTCCGAGTCTCTGATTTTTACTTTTCTAAACCCATAAAAAAACAGAATCAGTTCGTCATAAACAGTTTACACTCGTCCAGATTCTTTGTCTCTTCCCTTCTTCATCCAGAGCGTTCTCATTATTCACCGCAGTGAGTTTAAAAACACTTTTCACGGAGTTTTCTTTGAAACGTGAACCTAACAGTGACCAGCATGCTAATGTGCACTTCCTGATTCTCAAACAACACAACATAATGAGACGCAGACAGAACGGAACACAGAGGACTTTCAAATACACAAGGAAAACATTTTAAAGCACTTTAAAGAGGTCAAAATAAGTACAGATGTATTATTATATTGTGTATTCTGAAATGTTTTTATTGGCTCAGTTTTTAAATTTAAATAAACAGTTGTAAAAAAGTGTCAAATAATTCCGCTCGCTCCTTTTGGCTCCAACTTTAGTTCGTTTTACAGAATTATAAAATGGAACGATCACATTTTTAGCAATTTACCTTTTGTTGTCGTCGTTTTCCGATCTCGGTGGAGCGCTCTGTCAGTGCGTCTGGCGCCCCCTAGTGCCTAGGCGCGATTTCATTTCTCTCCAGCGACTACGTCAGGAATCAGAAAACACAAGAACCCCGGAAGACGTAGAGCGCGCGCCAGCCAGTGAGTACGGACGCCGAGAGGGGTCGCAACGAACGCAAACGCCGCAACAAATACGAATGCGACAACACGACAAAAAGCCACGACACACCAAAAAAAAAGCCACAACACATTAAAAAGCCACAACAAATCAAAAAGCCACAAACACAACACACAACAAAAAGCCACAACACAAAAAAGCCACAACACAACAAAAAGCCACAAAAACACAACATTAAAAAGCCACAACAATCAAAAAATCAAAAAAAGCCACAACACAACAAAAAGCCACAACAAACCAAAAAAGCCAAAAACAAATCAAAAAAGCCACAACATGCCAAAAAAGCCACAACACACCAAAAAAAGCCACAACGGAAATGACCGCGGGACTCTATTTTAATGCAAACGCCACAACAAACACAAACGCCACAACACAAACGCAAAAACCACAACACATATTAAAAAGCCACAACACATTAAAAAGCCACAACAAACTAAAAAAGCCACAACGGAAATGACCGCGGGACTCTATTTTCCGACGGACCGATCAAGCGGAAAGTGAAGAAGAAGAAGTACAACGTGAAACGAATAATGATAAAACAATAAATTACTTTTACTTACGTTTCCAACTTCTCCGTTCCTTTAATTTTCACATTCCACATGGATATATAAGGGAAATGAGGAAGATCTTGGGACCAATGCAAACAGTTTCATTTTTCAAGGTTTGTTTTTTTCTCTCCGTTTGTGGAATCTGAGTTTGGGCATCGTAAACAGCAATCAGTCCAAAAACTCATGGGAAAAAAGTCCGAGTCCCAATTTCAACATGAATCTTTTATCACAGAGTCTCGAGTCTATTTCCTCACGATTTATTACACCCTGAGTAAACACACGGAGCGATGAAATACAGTTCTCACACACCTACTGCATGCAAAGATGCACTCTGGAACTTCTCTGTTCTTCTTTCTTTCTAACCAAAAATAAGAAAATGAAAAAACAACAATTTTCTTCATTATTTGTCTCCAAAACCAAAATGAAAAAACAGATGATTTGTTTTTTCAGTTTTCGATTTTGTATTTAAATGAAAAATGGAAAAAAAAAAGATAATGGCCTCGTTTACATGACCGGGACTGAGACCGAGACTGAGACCAGGACCATGACTGAGATCGAGACTGAGACTGAGACCAGACTGGGACCAAACCGGGACCATACCGGGACCAGACTGGGACTGAGACCGGGACTGAGACCGAGACTGAGGCCAAGACCAGACCGGGACCAGAGCAAGACTGAGATCACAACTGAGACCAGGACCAGACCAAGACTGAGATCAGGACTGAGACCGAGACCAGACCGGGACCAAACCAGAGGCTCAGAGCCCAGGACAGGGCCGGAGCTCGAAGCTGATTTTCGGACCCTGCAGAGGCTCTGGTCCCGGTCTGGTCCCGGTCTGGTCCCGGACCTGGATCAGTCCTGGTTCAGTCTGGCATCGCAGTCACTGAAGTCACGTAAACGGGAAACGGCCGTTATCCTTTTTTTTTTTTCCATTCTTCATTTAAACACAAAATCGAAAACTGAAAAAAACAAATCATTATATGTTTTTTCATTTTGTTTTGGAGACAAATAATGAAGAAAATTGTTGTTTTTTCGTTTTCTTATTTTTGGTTTTATATTGAAAAATGAATGAATGAATGATACAGATTTAATATTGTTCCCTCCTCAAAAACAGACCTGGACTTGTGTTTTGTTTCGTTCACACGTTTGAGCAACTCTTTATTATTCGTCTGTCTACATCTCCAAACCTCAAAAACGCTCTGTTCCACCTTGTGATGTCATGAGGCGGTAGTTTCAATTGAGTCCACAGCTCCTTTTTCGTTTAGTTCAGTAGAGATTGGTGATTCCAGGACTGAAATGACCCCAAATGATTCTAGTGAAGGTGTGTGGATTTCCTGTTGTACCACTTGATGACATCACAAGGTGGAACAGAGTGTTTTCAGTTTAAGAGAAGAACCTAAAAGCCTAAATGTGCAGAGTTTGTGTGTTATGAAAAGAAAAAAAAAAAAAAAGAAAATCCACAACTCCAGGTCTGTTTGTGATGAAGAAATGACATTAGAACATAGAAAAAAATAAATAAAACAGAGTAATATAGGCCTTTTAAAAAATTATATTTCTTGGATTTATTTTTTTATTTTTTATTTAACTGGAAAAAAATAAAAAAATAAAAAAATGTAATAAAAAAAAATAAAATAGTATTATTTCTGTGAGCGCCTCTTTACAGATGTGATGGTTAAAAATGTGTCTGGTCCCATTTTGTGGAACATTCCGGACAAATCGGTAACAAGCGGGTGGCGGCGCTCAGTCAGAAAAGTTCCGCAGTGCAGCTTTAACTCCCACTCCTCCGTCTGTCCTCCTTGCAGACGTCTTTATTTAGCAGCACTTCATGTTTCAGCCGAGGCCAGCGGGTCAGACCAGGACCCCGAAACCTGATCCCACACAGACACTCTGCACTTTCTGAAGCTGCTGTAAAAAAAAAATAAAAATAAATAATAATTTGACTGTAGTTTATTTATTTTGACAGAGACAGAGACTTTAAACTTGTGGATGGTGTTGTGTGTTGTGGCTTTTTTTGGTTTGTTGTGGCTTTTTAATGTGTTGTGGCATTTGCGTTTGTGTCGTGGCGTTTGTATTTGTTGTGGCGTTAGCATTAAAATAGAGTCCCGCGGTTATTTCCGTTGTGGCTTTTTTGTTGTTGTTTGTTGTTCCTTTTTTTAATTTGTTGTGGCTTTTTGTTGTGTTGTGGCTTCTTGGTTTGTTGTGGCTTTTTGATGTGTTGTGGCTTTTTAATGTGTTGTGGTTTTTGCATTTGTGTTGTGGCTTTGTTTGGTTTGTTGTGGCTTTTTTTGGTGAGTTGTGGCTTTTTTGGTGTGTTGTGGCTTTTTAATGTGTTGTGGCATTTGTGTTGTGGCATTTGTATTTGTTGCGCCGTTTGCATTAAAATAGAGTCCCGAGGTCATTTCCGTTGTGGCTTTTTTTTTTGGTGAGTTGTGGCTTTTTCGGTTTGGTGTGGCTTTGTTTTGATGTGTTGTGGCTTTTTAATGTGTTGCGGCATTTGCGTTTGTGTTGTGGCATTTGTATTTGTTGCGCCGTTTGCATTAAAATAGAGTCCTGCGGTCATTTCCGTTGTTTTTTTGTTTTATTTTTTTTTGTGCCTTTTTTTTGTTTGTTGTGGCTTTTTGATGTGTTGTGGCGTTTGTATTAAAATAGAGTCTCGAGGTAATTTCCGTTGTGGCTTTGTTTGGTTTGTTGTGGCTTTTTTTTTGGGTGAGTTGTGGCTTTTTTGGTGTGTTGTTGCTTTTTTGTGTGTGTGTGTTGTGGCTTTTTAATGTGTTGTGGCATTTGCGTTTGTGTTGTGGCATTTGTATTTGTTGCGGCGTTTGCATTAAAAGTCCCGCAGTAATTTCCGCTGTGGCTTTTTTTGTTTTTGTGTGGCTTTTTTTGGTGTGTTGTCGCTTTTTGTTGTGTTGTGGCTTCTTGGTTTGTTGTGGCTTTTTGGTGTGTTGTCGCATTTGTATTTGTTGCGGCGTTTGCCTTTGTCTCGGCTTCCGTACCCGCCTCATCTAAATAATTATTTTTACATCAATAAACAATAAAAAAGTGTAAAATAAAAATCTCCGGTCTCTGTGGTCGATATTTAATCTGTTAAATGTGTTTTGTTGCAGAGAAGACGGAGACTGGATCGCGGCTCCACACTGTATCCAGATCTCACACGAAGAATGTGACCTGACCCACGAACTGCAATATAAAAACAGGTAAGATTTAGTCCGGTTTAGTCCTGGTTTAGTCCTGGTTTAGACCTGGTTTAGACCTTGTTTAGACCTTGTTTAGACCTTGTTTAGTCTTGGTTAAGACCTGGTTTAGACCTGAGCTCCTCTTGTCCAGGAAGTTCCAGGCCGATGTTCAGACTGACGATCTTTACGACGACTACGAGGACCTTCCACACACCTACTCCACCTTCTTCAACCCCTACACACAGAGTAAGACCCGGAATCTAACCCACAACCTCCACCTGAATCTAACCCCACAACCTTCACAACCTCCATAACCTCCACCTGAATCTAACCCACAACCTCCACAACCTTCACAACCTCCACCTGAATCTAACCCACAACCTCCACAACCTCCACCTGAATCTAACCCACAACCTCCACAACCTTCACAACCTTCACAACCTCCACCTGAATCTAACCCACAACCTCCACAACCTCCACAACCTTCACAACCTCCACAACCTCCACAACCTCCACCTGAATCTAACCTACAACCTCCACAACCTCCACAACCTCCACAACCTTCACAACCTCCACAACCTCCACCTGAATCTAACCCACAACCTCCACCTGAATCTAACCCACAACCTCCACAACCTTCACAACCTCCACCTGAATCTAACCCACAACCTCCACCTGAATCTAACCCACAACCTCCACCTGAATCTAACTCACAACCTCCATCTGAGAGGAGCATAAGAGAAGATCAGAGGAGCAGAAGAGAAGGTCAGAGGAGAAGGTCAGAGGAGCAAAGGAGAAGGTTAGAGGAGCAGAGGAGGAGAGGAGAAGGTCATAGAAGAAGGTTAGAGGAGCAGAGGAGAAGGTCAGAGAAGAAGGTCAGAGGAGCAGAGGAAAAGGTCAGAGGAGCAGAGAAGAAGGTCAGAGGAGTAGAGGAGAAGGTCAGAGGAGCAGAGGAGAAGGTCAGAGGAGCAGAGGAGAAGGTCAGGAGAAGGTCAGAGGAGCAGAGGGGGGTCAGAAGGTCAGAGTCAGAGGAGCAGAGGAGAAGGTCAGAGGAGAAGGTCAGAGGAGCAGAGAAGAAGGTCAGAGGAGCAGAGGAGAAGGTCAGAGGAGCAGAGGAGAAGGTCAGAAGGTCAGAGGATTGACTGTGGCTCTGGTGTTTCAGGTGAGCTGAGCGCAGTTTCGTTCTCCATCCTGAAGGTGGGCGAGCACTCGGTCACGTTGAACATCACGGACCCTCTGACCTCGTTCCATGTTGGGGGGAAGCAGCTCTCCATCCGAGACATCCTCCAGAAAGATCTCAAGTACAAAGTGTCCTACTCCAAGTCCGATAAATCGATGGAGGTACGAGACCAGCTCTGGGACCAGTTCTGGGACCAGCTCTGGGACCAGAGGGGGTCCATAGTCTACATGTAGTCTAAGGTCTGGTTTAGTCTTGCTTTTGTCCTGGTTTAGACCTGGTTTAGTCCTGGTTCTTGTTTAGTTTTGGTTCAGTCCTGGTTCAGTTCTGGTCCAGTCCAGGTTCTTGTTCAGTCCTGGTTTAGTCTTGGTTTAGTCCTGGTTCAGTTCTGGTTCAGTTCTGGTTTAGTCCTGGTTCAGTTCTGGTTTAGTTCTGGTTCAGTCCTGCTTTAGTCCTGGTTTAGTCGTGGTTTAGTCCTGGTTTAGACCTGGTTCAGTCCTGGTTTAGTCCTGGTTTAGTCCTGGTTCAGTCCTGGTTCAGTCTTGGTTCAGTCCTGGTTCAGTCCTGGTTCAGTCCTGCTTTAGTCTTGGTTTAGTCCTGGTTCAGTTTAGTCCCACGGTGTTGGTCCTCAGGTCCTGACCTTAGACCAGGAGGAGTTCAGACTCTGGGCTGATTCATGTTCCTCTGAATCCTCCTGAGATGTTTCATAATCCTGGACTCTGAGAAACTGAAGCAGCAGGAAACAGAAACTCTGAAAACTCTCACGGGTCCAGAGTCCAAAGTCCAGAGTCCAGGTCCAGAGTCCAGAGTCCAAAGTCCAGAGTCCAGGTCCAGAGTCCAGAGTCCAGAGTCCAGAGTCCAAAGTCCAGAGTCCAGAGTCCAGAGTCCAGAGACCAGATCCACAGTCCAGATCCACAGTCCAAAGTCCAGATCCAGAGACCAGAGACCAGGTTAGAGCCCACAGAGGGAGCAAAAGCTGGACTGGATCAGGCCAGGACATGGATCTGGACATGGACCTGGACTGGATCTGGACATGGATCCGTACTGGGTCTGGACTGGATCTGGACTGGACCTGGACTGGATCTGGACTGGACCTGGACTGGATCTGGACATGGATCTGGACATGGATCTGGACTGGACCTGGACTGGATCTGGACATGATCTGGACTGGATCTGGACTGGTACTGGACCTGGACCTGGACTGGTACTGGACATGGACCTGGACATGGACCTGGACTGGATCTGAAGACAGATCTGGACTGGATCTGGACTGGACCTGGACATGGATCTGGACTGGATCTGGACTGGATCAGGACCTGGACCTGGACCGGCTCAGGTAAATCCGTGTCTGTGTGTTCTTTCTGGCAGAGGAAGGTGGATCTGGACTCAAACGTGGCTCAGATCTCCGGTCTGGACCCGGGTCAGAGTTACTGCTTCATGGTCGCCGCGTACGTCCAGAACCGACACATGTCCGTGAGTAAAGGAGCGTGGAGCGGAATCACCTGCACCTCCGGCTCCGGAATCCTGGACGGTAAGAAGAGACGCCATCCCTCGCTTCTCACGGGAAAAAAGACGAGAAAACACCAAAGACTGAATCCCTCTTTTCAAATCTTTACTCTCTCTTTCCTTACTCCTCTCTCTCTCTCTCTTTCTATCCTCAGTTTCTTCTTCCCTCGATTCCTTCCTCTGTCTGTTTTCCCTCCCTCCCTCCCCCTCTCTCTCACTCTTTTTATGCTCCCTTCTTCCCTCTCTTTCTCTTTTCTTCTCCTCTCCCTCTTCCTCCTCTCTTTCTCTCTCTCTTTCTGTCGTTCTCTGTCTTTTTCTCTTTCTCTCTTTCTCTCTCTTTCTGTCTTTCTCTTTCTCTCTTTTTCTCTCTTTTCTGTCTTTCTCTTTCTCTCTTTTTCTCTCTCTTTCTGTATTTCTCTCTCTCTCTTTGTCTTTCTCTCTCTTTCTCTCTCTCTTTGTCTCTCTCCTCCTCCTCCCTTCTCTTTCCCTCTCCTCCTCTCTCTCTCCTTCTACTCCCTCTTTCCACCCTTCCCTCCCTCTCCTCTCTCTCTCCTTCTTTCTCTGTGCCTCTCCTTCCTCCTCCCTCCTTCCTTTTCTCTCTTCCCTCTCTTCTCTCTCTCTCTACTCCCTCTTTCGGTCTTCTCTCTCCTCCCTCTCTTTCTCTCTCTCCCTCCTTCCCCCTCCTTCTCCCTTCTGTCTCTTGCTCTCTTGCTCTCTCTCTCTCCTCCCTCTCTCTCTCTCCTTCTCCTCCCTCTCTCCCGCCTTCCTTCTTCTTTCTCTCCCTCTCCTCTCTTTCTCTTCTCTCTCCTCCCTTTTTCATCCTCTCTCCCCCTTTCCCCCCTTCTTTCTCTCTCTTTCTCTTTCCTTCCTCTCTCTCTGTATCCTTCTACTCCCCTCCCATTCCTCCCTCTCACCTCTCTCTTTCTCTCTCCCCCCTCCCCTCTACTCCCTCTCTCTGTCTCTCTCTCCTCTTTCGTTCCCTCACCTATGTTTTTTTCTCTCCTCCCCTCTCCCCTCCTTTCCTATCTTCTTTCTTCTCCCTCTCTTTCCCCATCCCTCTCTCTCTCTCTCTCTCTTTCTCCTCTCTCGTTTCTCTCTCTCTCTCTCTCTCTCTTTCTCTCTTTCTTTCACACACATGTCTTCCAGATGTGTTTTTGTTTTTTCCCTGAGGTTGTTTTTTTTCTGGACTCTTGTTTTTTCACATCTGACTCAGTTTTTCTCGTTTTTTTTACGTCGTTTTCGGACTCGGCTCATTATTTGTGTTTGAAACCAAAATGGTGAAACGAGACGAGGCCACAAACTTCACACGGTCCCGACCAGAACCAGATTTGAATCGGTTTAAATCTTTTGTTTTCACTTTTTCCTTTTAGTTTCATCAAAACATCGATCAACAAAGTTCACAAACGAAAGAAAAGAACAAGGATTATTTTAGACCTGGTTTAGACCTGGTTCAGACTTGGTTTTAGTCCTGGTTTAGTCCTTGTTTAGTCCTGGTTTAGTCCTTGTTTAGTCCTGGTTTAGTCCTGGTTTAGTCCTGGTTTAGTCCTAGTTTAGTTCTGGTTTAGACCTGGTTTAGTCCTGGTTTAGTTCTGGTTTAGTCCTGGTTCAGTCCTGGTTTAGACCTGGTTTAGTCCTGGTTTAGTTCTGGTTTAGACCTGGTTTAGACCTGGTTTAATCTTAGTTTAGTCCTGGTTTAGTTCTGGTTTAGTCCTGGTTTAGTTCTGGTTTAGTCCTGGTTTAGTCCTGGTTTAGTCCTGGTTCAGTCCTGGTTTAGTCCTGGTTTAGTCTTGGTTCAGACCTGGTTCAGACCTGGTTTAGTCCTGGTTTAGTCCTGGTTTAGTCTTGGTTCAGACCTGGTTTAGTCCTGGTTTAGTCTTGGTTCAGACCTGGTTCAGACCTGGTTTAGTCCTGGTTTAGTCCTGGTTCAGTCCTGGTTTAGTCCTAATTTAGTCCTGGTTTAGTCTTGGTTCAGACCTGGTTCAGACCTGGTTTAGTCCTGGTTTAGTCCTGGTTTAGTCCTAATTTAGTCCTGGTTTAGTCTTGGTTCAGACCTGGTTCAGACCTGGTTTAGTCCTGGTTTAGTCCTGGTTTAGTCTTGGTTCAGACCTGGTTTAGTCCTGGTTTAGTCCTGGTTCAGTCCTGGTTTAGTCCTGGTTTAGTCCTGGTTTAGTCTTGGTTCAGACCTGGTTTAGTCCTGGTTTAGTCCTGGTTCAGTCCTGGTTTAGTCCTGGTTTAGTCTTGGTTCAGACCTGGTTCAGACCTGGTTTAGTCCTGGTTTAGTCTTGGTTCAGACCTGGTTTAGTTCTGGTTTAGACCTGATTCAGTCCTGGTTTAGTCCTAATTTAGTCCTGGTTTAGTCTTGGTTCAGACCTGGTTCAGACCTGGTTTAGTCCTGGTTTAGTCCTGGTTTAGTCTTGGTTCAGACCTGGTTTAGTCCTGGTTCAGTCCTGGTTTAGTCCTGGTTTAGTCTTGGTTCAGACCTGGTTCAGACCTGGTTTAGTCCTGGTTTAGTCCTGGTTTAGTCTTGGTTCAGACCTGGTTCAGACCTGGTTTAGTCCTGGTTTAGTCCTGGTTTAGTCTTGGTTCAGACCTGGTTCAGACCTGGTTTAGTCCTGGTTTAGTCTTGGTTCAGACCTGGTTCAGACCTGGTTCAGACCTGGTTTAGTCCTGTTTTATATTTTCTCTTCAGTTTTTTGTTTTGTTCCTTTTAAAATCTTAAATCTTTAAACTTTTTCTGGTTCCAGATTTTCTCGTCTTTTCTCTCGTGTTTCTTGTCGACTCTGGGTCCAAACGTCGTCATAAAAAGTGAAAGTTTTGAGTAAATAAAGCCAGAGTTTGTTTCGGGGTCAGAGTCGCGGGTTAATCCCAGTTTCTTCGTCATTTTTTCCGTGACGCTTTTCCCCAAAGATCAAACTCCGAAAAAAGCAGAAAATCCCAGAGGAAACTCAAACATCTTCACTAGAATTATTATTATTTATTTATTGATTTATTTTTAGTTCCAGAAAGTGAAGCGGCCACACTCACATCTTCATCTTTTTAAAGGGAGGAAGAGAACGGTTTAGAGTTTAAGAAAAGTTCTAAATTCACCAAACTCGACAGGAGAATGTGTCTGATTTTAGCAGCGATTTGATTCTCCCCAAGTTAAAAAAAATGTGAACTGATTTTGTTTTCATGAGCGAATTTGAAAAAAAAAAAAAGTCCTGGTTTAGAACTGGTTTAGTCCTGGATTAGTTCTGGTTTAGTCCTGGTTTAGATCTGGATTAGACCTGGTTTAGTCCTGGTTTAGATCTGGATTAGTCCTGGTTTAGTCCTGGTTTAGATCTGTATTAGTCCTGGTTTAGTCCTGGATTAGAACTGGTTTAGACCTGGATTAGAACTGGTTTAGACCTGGTTTTAGTCCTGGTTTTAGACCTGGTTTAGTCCTGGTTTAGACCTGGTTTTAGACCTGGTTTAGTGGTGCAGCCCATGTGACGTACAGGAGGAGGGACGGTCTGTGCGGCGTAAGGGGGGCGGGGCCCAGTACTGGTCCCTGTCCTGGGCGTTGGGTGAGATTAGTCCACATACACGAGTTTACGCTGCTTAAAATGTTTTTATTAATGTCAAATAAAATCTCCAGCACAAATAAAGTTTGACAGACAAACATGAATCTTTGTGTATTTTACTTTACACTCAGATTTTGTTTGTGGGACTGTAGTTTCTCATCCCGCCCTCCCACTACTGTGACTTAAACAAAATAATCCTGTAGTTTGTGGCGGCTAAAAGTGACCATCAGTGTCATCATTTCATCCTGTTTTGTTTAAAGTTGTTAAATTAAAAATGACGTGTCTCTTTTTCTCTTTTTTTCCTCTCAGAGCTGGACATGCGCTCCGTCTTTCAGGCCGTCTTCATCCCTCTGGTTCTCCTCATCGTCCTGGTGACGGTTCTGGCCATTTACTGCCGATTCTGTCGACGCAAAAACAAAACCCCAGACTCACGAACCCGAGACCCGCCCAGACCTTTTACTGCGCAGTACTGTAACTCTGGGGTACTTTTACTGTGAAGTATTTTCACTGTGGAGTACTTTCACTGTGAAGGATTTTTACTGTGGAGTACTTTCACTGTGAAGTACTTTCACTGTGGAGTACTTTTACTGTGGAGTACTTTCACTGTGAAGTACTTTCACTGTGGAGTACTTTCACTGTGAAGTATTTTTACTGTGGAGTACTTTCACTGTGAAGTACTTTCACTGTGGAGTACTTTTACTGTGGAGTACTTTCACTGCGGAGTACTTTCACTGTGGAGTACTTTCACTGTGGAGTACTTTTACTGTGAAGTATTTTTACTGTGGAGTACTTTTACTGTGGAGTACTTTTACTGTGGAGTACTTTCACTATGAAGTACTTTTACTGTGAAGTACTTTCACTGTGGATTACTTTTACTGTGAAGTACTTTTACTGTGGAGTACTTTTACTGTGGAGTACTTTCACTGTGGAGTACTTTTACTGTGAAGTACTTTCACTGTGGAGTACTTTCACTGTGGAGTACTTTTACTGTGGAGTACTTTTACTGTGATGTACTTTTACTGTGGAGTACTTTCACTGTGAAGTACTTTCACTGTGAAGTACTTTTACTGTGATGTACTTTTACTGTGGAGTACTTTCACTGTGAAGTACTTTCACTGTCACGTACTTTTACTGCGGAGTACTTTTACTGCGGAGTACTTTAGTTTACTGCATAAATCCTGCAAAAATGAACATCACCGTCCGCTATAAAGATTTAAATTCACGAAATAGATTTTTGTTTTGAACAGTGCAGAGTTTGCATGTTCTCGCTAGATCACTACATTACTCAAACATGCGTGGGTGGCTCTAAAAGCTCTTCAGGCAGGTTTTTTTTTTTTTTTTTTTTTGGACGATAAAACACGGAAGAAAAATAACAAAAAACGATTTTGCGTCACAATTCCAGTGGGTCAAATGCAGAAAATAATACACACATACTTTCAAACAAAATCAATTATTTGTAAAACAGACGGATGTTGCGAACAGAAGGGTACGTTTGTGTCTCTTCGGGGTAAATGTGAAAGGCGGGGCTTTTTACTTTTTGTTTTTCACTGTTCGCCGTATAAGCTGAAGTCACACGAGAAACAAAATCAAGAAATCAAAAGATCGCTGTGAAATTTTGAGTTGATTTGAAAATGTTCTAATGTAGTTTTCAGAAACAAACAGACCTGGAGTTTTGTTTCGTTTCATTCACACTGAAAATAAAACGTAACTGTGAACTTGAAAACTACCACTTCATGACATCGCAATGTGAAACGGAACATTTTGAGTTTAGGAAATGTAGACAGACTCATAAAAACACTGCAAAAAATGAAATCTAGTCAAGTCAAGATGGAATTGAAATCGTTTTCGAGTGGTTTTGTTGTGTGTACAGTGTCGTTCACACTAATCTGATGGAAATCGGCTCCAGAGTCTGAACGATCTGGTGCCTCCAGCTCCACGAGTTCATGTCGGTCCAGATGTGTCGGGGACTGTGTGGACTCCTGAAAACTCTGATACTCTGATGTCGGAGCTTGAGTCTCGTCTTTATTGGGCCACGTCGCTGTGACTCGCTCCATCCTGATTCTCTGGGTTCGTGACATCGGTCGTGTGACAATGTTGTGGAAAACCCAAAATAAGAAAATGAAAAAACAACTGTTTTCTTCATTATTTGTCTCCAAAACCAAAATGAAAAAATGGATAACTATTAATTTTTTCATTTTTTGATTTTGTGTTTAAATGAAGAATGGAAAAAATGGATAACGGCCGTTTCCCGTTTACGTGACTTCCGTGACTGCGATGTCAGACTTTTGCACCACGTACGGACTGAACCAGGACTGATCCAGGTCCAAGACCAGAGCAGGACCAGAGTGGGACTGAGCCCAAAACCAGCAGTCCGAGTGGTTCCTTGTTGTCGTCTGTGCGCTGGTTCTGTGTGGGGAAAGTGAGAATGTGGACTACAGGTCTGTGACCATACCGGGACCAGAGTGCTAATGAGACTGGGACCAGACCGGGACCAGAGTGCTAATGAGACTGGGACCAGACCGGGACCAGAGTGCTAATGAGACTGGGACCAGACCGGGACCAGCGCGGGCCTGAGACCAAGACAAGACCAGAACCAGACCAGAGGCTCAGAGCCCACGGCAGGGCCGGAGCTCGAAGCTGAGACTCAAACCCCGCGGAGGCTTGGAGTCCGCCCTGGTCCTGGTCTGGTCCCGGTCTGGTCTCGGTCTGGTCCTGGACCTGGATCAGTCCGTATGCAGCGCAAAAATCCGGCATCACAGTCATAGATGTCACATAAACGTCCGTTATCCGTTTTTTTTTCCATTTTTCATTTAAACACAAAATTGAAAACTGAAAAAAACAAATCATTATCTGTTTTTTCATTTTGGTTTTGGAGACAAATAATGAAGAAAATAGTTCTTTTTTCATTTTCTTAGTTTTGGTTTTATATTGAAAAAGGAATGATTGAACGACACGGCTTGTGTTGAGTCTTCTCAGTCGTCTTTATAAGTTTAAAGTTTAAATGTTAAATTGTTGAGTGGTGTAGAAGTAATGTGCAGTAGAGCCAAGTAACAGTGGTGCAGGAGGAACAGGAGCAGCAGATACTCACACACAAGACTAGAGAAAAAAAAGTGCACCCTATAGTCCCAAAAATACGGTACTCAAATAAAGTCAAACATTCTTGATTTAAAGGTTGTATGGAGGATTTTTTTTTGTTTCAAATTGTCAATGATAGCATTATAGACCAAAAAAAAGAGAATAAAAATTCATCAACTCTGAACATTTGCCAATAGATAACGACACTGCCTCGTTATCTGTTAGCTGACAGGCTGTCAATCAAACTCCCTACGTTTCTAGTGTAACTGACTTGCCTGCGCGCCGCCGGTACGTGGTTTATGTACGACTGTCACGCAGTCCACAGACGCACAGACGCTGTTTACTCCACCAACGCAACAGTTCTTAGTGGCTTTTTTTGACCTATATCTTCCTCTCAGCACAAAGTTTGTTGCAATGGCAGACAAGAATCCAGGAGCAGTTCGCCGCAAAAGAAAGTCCGTTTTTGAGATTGCTGAAAGAAGAAGACAAGGGGAAAAGCAGCGAAGCCAAACTAAGGTGATTCTTGAAGATTCATTCCAGCGATGGCGCAACTGAAGCAGACGCAGGGTCTAAAGACTGACGCATTGGTCGCCAAAGCTAGACAAACGTTTTTCAGGACACGAAAGCGATATCCTATGTCTGAAAACGTAATTTTCAAGGCAAAGGAAGAGTCCGCTTGCTGCTGCGTGTTGTAGCTAGTTCATTCGCACTGAATCTCCGCGCACCCTTCTCTGCTCCCCTTACTGCTCCTCTCCCCACTGCCCGATCCGCTCTTCTCCCTGCTCCTCACTTCTCGTCCGCGCACAAAATGCCCGCGCACCCGCTCCCCCCGCTCCTCACTTCTCCGTCTTGCCTAACCAACACTGTAGTTAGTTGTTTTTACAAGTCATGTGCAGCGCACCGGCTGTAAACAAACCTGTTTCTGGCGTAAGGAGGAGGAGGGAGGAGGCGTTTCTACGTAGGGAGCTGTAGGGGAGGGGGGGTGGTTTCACACATGCGCAACATTTGAAAAAGAACAAACAGTCGCTGGATTTCTCGTTCCTTGGAAAATCCTCTATACAACCTTTAAGTCATTTTCATTGACCTAGATATATATATTTTTTTGCTGTGAAAGGTTTAGACATGAAACAAAACAAACTCCAGGTCTGTTTTTTAGGACGTAACATCATCAGAACCTGGTTTAAATCTCATTCGAGTCGGTTTTGCGTCGTTCAGGAGATTTAAATAAATCTTCTGCGTCGCGTTGTGGCTCCAGCTCTTCGGCCTCTCGCAGTTTTTACAGAGTTTGTGTTTCAGGGACTTGCGGGCGAGTCTCGACGTTTTATAAATGTGACTCTTCAAACAAAAAAACACCACTAACTTCACGAAAACCACTACAGCACGAACCCGACCTGAGTTTTTTTTTTTTTTTTTTTTTTTAATAGAATCACTGTAAATGAACGAACACTACGTTATATTCTGTGCCAAAGGTCAAACGTGTATCTGAATGTTTTTGTTGTTTGTCTGTAAAGCTTCAATAAATGTGTTTTTGTAAAAGTTTGCTCCATGTGTCAGTGTTAAAATAAGTTTAGTGTGAAAATAAAACTGTTTACACACACAAATCCACTGTTTTTAAAGGTGAAAGTCTTAAAATTATTCGGTTTAGTCAAATATAAAACTGCTCTGATCATGTTTAAAGAACAGTTTGACGAATGTTCGAAAATCTTACATTTAGTTCTTTAAAAATTACACCTTTGCAAAAAATAATAATTACAAGTCTTAATGTACCATGTTAAACAGTCCACTAGAGGGCGACATTTCATCCACACAAATGTTCAAGGATTTAAAAAACAAATTTGAAATGTTCATTTTAAATTGAGCTTTTTCACAATGACCAGAAGTGCAGCGATGTCGAGTACAAGTCACGTACGTTAATGTTTTTCTGGGGCAAAATGTGGGTAAATGTGTAAACACAGTCAAGTCAAGTCCAAGTCGAGTCTCGAGTCACTGTCTCGTAAGTCCCAAATCAAGTCCAAGTCAAGTCCAAGTCAAGTCTTGAGTCACTGTCCCAGAAGTTCAAGTCAAGTCCAAGTCGAGTCCAAGTCAAGTCCAAGTCGAGTCTCGAGTCACTGTCCCAGAAGTCCAAGTCAAGTCCAAGTCAAGTCAAGTCCAAGTCAAGTCCAAGTCGAGTCCAAGTCGAGTCCAGGTCAAGTCTCGAGTCACTGTCCCAGAAGTCCAAGTCAAGTCCAAGTCGAGTCTCGAGTCACTGTCCTGTAAGTCCAAGTCGAGTCTCGAGTCACTGTCCCGTAAGTCCAAATCAAGTCCAAGTCAAGTCCAAGTCACGTCTTGAGTCACTGTCCCAGAAGTTCAAGTCAAGTCCAAGTCGAGTCTCAAGTCACTGTCCCATAAGTCCAAGTCGAGTCCAAGTCAAGTCCAAGTCAAGTCCAAGTCAAGTCTCATGTCACTGTCCCATAAGTCCAAGAAATCAAGTCCAAGTCAAGTCCAAGTCCAAGTCCA